TTGCAGTGCTGCTATGCATTGCTGTCAGCAAGTGCACTGTAATAGGATTTTGGGGTCCACCATTTTGTTTTATTTGGCTGGTTATCCAAGATATTGTTATACTGTTTTGACATGCAGCTGTGTCGCGGGTTTTCCGAGCATCCCGGCCGTCATTTGGACTTTGGAGTTCACAGCCATCGTGACTGATAAAGACGCTGTTTTTTGCATTGCAAGCTGCATCGTTGTTTTGTGTTGTGACGTTTAACGTTAGTTGTGACTTGATAGTTGAAAGTATTTTTCCTCAGAATACCTACTGAAATTAAAGTGAATAGTTTTTCAGAGATATCCAAGACGATAGAAACGTAATAAAGAAGTCATAAATACTGTCAATTACTTTATTGTATAATTACCTACTGTAATTAAAAAGTAACTGCAGTAGATCTAATCTCTTGAATGTCACCGAAAATAGACTACTACGTTTAAAATTATTATGGTGTCGTACATATTTGTTTTGCCGAATACCAGGCACAGGCTTCGTTACCATGTTATATTGTTGTGCCATTAGCCCTCCCCTCCCTTTCATTCCGTCTCTCTTTTCGCACAGGAAAGTGACGCAGAAGACTAGTTCGTGGCGGGTATTAAAATAATATTATGTGTCTGTTTTAGGTTTCGACGTGCGGTATTGGAGGAGTTCGCCGCCATGCTGCAGAGACTGACAACTGTGGATGGCCGACCACTACTGCAGACAAAGCGGTACACCGCCATCCTGGGACTCGTGCTGGCATCCCAAACCACCATCGACGTCGGCGAGCTCCTGCTACAGGAAGCTGGATTCTCATTTGTTCTTCCTTATCGCATGTCCCAGGACCACTTGGAGCTTCACTTCGGGAGAATCCGTCGGATGGGTGGGCTTAACAACAACCCAAACGCAGCGCACCTGAGACAAGCAATGCGGAAGCTCATCTTACATAACTTTATAACCCCGATCTTTTCGGGCAACTATTGTGTGCGTGACGAGGAAGACGACGGTCTGCTCACGTGGCGTCGTCCAAAGAGTCGGGGAGTGACTCCTGAGGCTGATTCGGGTATGCCTGCGGTAGTGCAGCATGTGCTAGGGCAAACCGTTCCATCAGACTTCCTGCAAAACTGTACTGCCTACGTCGCGGGTTATGTGTGTCGAAAGTTGGTGGAGGAAAAGCGTGTGCGCTGTGCTGAGTGCATTGAGGCTATCCAAGCCAATGATCGTGATCCTCCGCCAGCCGAGCTCATTGAGCTGATCAAAGTCCGTGACAACGGGGGCCTTATCGTCCCTTCCCGATCTGCGCTCAAGATCATTCTAAGCGCAGAGCGTCACCTAAAGGCTTTCCGGAAGTGTATGGATGTCACCAGGATCGCGAACCTCTGTCTCCGTATCCAGGTTGCCGTGCTGCAGGAAGTAACGCTCGACAGCGCTGAGCGCCTCTTCCCGCAGAGCCAGGACCACATGTTCGCGATCCTCGAGGACGAGGGACACTTCACCCAGCTTGTAAAGCTGCTAGTAGGTAGGTATATAACAGTACGATTGTACGACTTTGGGAAGACGGTGACAAATGAGGCCGTGAGGTCTGTCCACGCGCGACACAGGCTCACCAAGACGATCATATTCGGAAACCAGTAGAATCGTTTTAGAGGGTGCACCTGGTGGCCACAAACTGACACGTTAGTGAAAGCTGTCAGGACTGTTTCATCGGTTGAAACAACGAAGCGAGGCTTGTTGTCGGGCGCTCCAAGGTCCCAAGCCGCCAAATAGATGGGGTGGCATATTACAGTATCATGCACACATCACACTTACACACTCATTTACACAAATAAATGATATGCACAAATCCATGTCCACAAATCCAAATCCATCCATCCATGCACAAATAAATGATATCATGCAACCCAGCCAATGTAGGCATGCGCCCTAGTTTAGGCACATATTCTTACACACTTGTGTGTACTCAATTCAAACATGATAAAATGCCATGATGCACACCCAACAGTGTAAGTGTGCAACAAAGTCCATTCTCATTATAAGTAGGGGAGAGCGGGGCCAGTTGAAACACGGGGTCAGATGAAACATGGCTTTATTTTCAACAGTATGCAACATATGGCGTTGCCGACACCACTGCGCATCCGCGCTCGACCACTTCCTTTGTCAACGGCGTTTGGGCGGCAAACGCACGGTAATTTTGAGTTGACACTTGCTTTTGTGTTTTTGAGGGGCGTTTGGGAGAAATCGTTTTTATGAATATTTTGTGATATCTCATATACCTTTGTTTGCTTAAAGAAGAGCTCCTGGCTCCGGAATAACACCTTATTTGGCCCTTCATTCAGCATAATGCCGTCCCTCCAGCTCGTTTGACATGTGCTTTACGGCGCGTGCGAGATGGCGGGAGCGGATGGGGTCAATTGAAACACTTCTCTTAGGGTCAGTTGAAACAGGGCCACAGGCCGTTTCAATGGACCCCGGTGACCTTTGCAATGGTTATTGTTCAGGGGCTGTAAACATTAAAGGAAATAGTCCACCTTTGAAATGAGCTTTTAAACTGAAATAGTAGTTTAATAGAGCTCAATTTTTGACCCTTTTTCTCCAGCAATTTGCTTTAAGGCACACTATAGCCTGATATATTTCTCATTTTTTCTCATCCGCCTATTTTACCATAGTCTATGTACTTTATGTCACCTATTATGAGGAGCTTTGCACTTTTAACTTTCCAATGACCTATTGAATGTAGCATTTGAAAAAGTAAACCGGACAAAATATCTCCTTAAGAAAGTGGCCTTAAAGAGGAAAACATCCCATTGTTAAGGATAGGTGCAATTGACCCCATGGGCTGGTTCAATTGACCCTCGCATCGGGGTCATTTGAAACGGGCGTAGAGCTGTTTTATAAGCATGCGTTTGGCAGCAAAATATGTTTGAAACATAATTTTACATATCTTAAAATAAAGCCAAAAGAGCATATTTTTTCATGGCATTGTGCATTTTTCGATATGACAACTAGATCTCGCTGTGCATGTCAATATATAAAAAGTGGTTCAACTGGCCCCGCTCTCCCCTATATTCTAACAGCAAATGCTACATCACGCTAGTCGTGATGCCATTTATTTTCATCATTCAAGTGGATTGCCCTATCTGGTTAGATAGACAATCCACCCAGCTATGCCACTGCAAGATTATAATTTGGGGCGGCCCAGGATTTCCAGCTGCCACTAGAAACCATTAAAGACCTTCAGAACCATCACAGACCATTAGAGACCTTCAGAAACCATTAGTGACCACCAGAAACCACTACGTACCATTACAACCACTATGGACCATCAGAAACCACTAGACCATTAGAACCCATCAGAAACCACTAGACCATCAGAAACCATTAGGGTTGTTCCAATTCCCATCAGCCATTAGACCATAAGGATTTCCTAATTGTATTTTTGCTAGGGTAAGCAGGCCTATGGATAATGGGCACGGGACGGACCACAAAGCTTTGCCAGATTAGACTGCAGACAGCTGCGCGAAAGTTCTCCGCACACAAGATGATGTGAAATTGTAATACCTGTAACGCATGACAGCTTCCTACAAACTGTATTTTTTATTTCTTGTATGATGTCTATGTTCTGGTTTGCCTTGTAATTCAAGTGTGTATAAGTGCCTTAATTGTTTTGTGCTGTCTGACCACTGCATCTGTTCCGTTGCTGCCGGTGCTAATATGAGGTGCGGTAAACAGTTTAGCCACATGGTGTGTTGTTAAGCGCAAAATGAAGTTTTGACACGTCACACGGCAAAGCACCACAAAAAGTTTCGGCGCACAGACCGTTGCGCCGAAATTTCGGCGCAGCGCAACTGCTGAATACTCCAGCATAGTGGATGTATTTTTTTCCAGTCGGGCTTGGAGGTTGCTAAGGCGGACCATGCTCGACTTCCTCCAGGAGAGGTCTGCAGAAGCAGAGAGGCTCAGCAGGATCCATGACGACACCGTCCTCTGGATGTCAGGCAACGATGCATACAGCAAGTGCACGGGTCTTTTGAGCTTTGGCAGACACACTCTGTAGACTGTAAGATGTCTCTGAGAGTGCCATAGAGGTCGTGCAGGCGCCGCGATTTGAGACCGGAGAAGTGGTGTGTTTGGTTGGGTCAGTCCGCTTCCCCAGCTAGCTGGGGAGGTCATGGGGACCCAGTGGGAGCAGACAGCTGCTTTTCACATTGAGCTCCATCTGCTCAACCAGCTGCCAAGTGGGACCTGCTTCGTGCTGCGCCGTCAGGTACTGTAGAAAAGCGGTGGCAGGTACTAATGCGTACTGACCTGCCAAGGCTGGTGTGGTATCAAGAGGATGGGATTAGCCCCTTGCCGGCCAGGTACGCCAAGCTGGCGCACACTGCTGAGCTGCAAATGTGGCTCCGGATGACGGCAACCAAGTAAATGATGGTGAAGCCAGCAAGTCAAGGGCCGGCAATGCAAGTGAGCAATTGCTATCGAGCACAAAGCATTTTTCTTGTTATTGTAGATGTCGATGTAGTTTTTGATGCATTGTGTCAGTGTTTGAAATGTGTCTCCCACCCACATTAGGTGGGGAGAAATGTTGCCTTTGAGCCAGTCATTGATTATTTGTATTGGTCATGTTACACTGCTGACCAGTGCCGCCACGCCACCACAATGAGTAGTCATACAGCGCAGTGTGCGTCCAGGCGATTGGCCACCCCAAGTGGCATGCTAGCTGATTGGCGCCCGTCGTTCCCCGCTCTGCTGCCTTAGGTCCAATCTTAAGTCAATGTAGGATTGTGCAAAGTGCCAACATCTTTTAGCTGTAACACTGTCAGAACTATATCAAAGCATGTGGAAGAGGCAGGAAAGTGAATATGAACCATAATATGGCTGATTTGTTTCAACCTCAAAGTTAAAACTGAGTTGGCCGTCGTCCACAGTCTTGGTCTGAAGTTGAGGTCGCCATCATGGTGAACTGCGAAGCACAAAAACACTGACACAAGCTTGTACTTACATATATCCAAGAGGGTATAACCGTCCGTTGCTTGTACCTTGATTAGGCCGATCCTTTGACAGAATTCGGCTTCAAAATCCAGCCAAAATTTGGATCAGCACCTAACCGCAGCCCTCCGCGAAGCAATTGCACTCATTGCACTGAAAAATGGCGTAATGCGCGTCACGCGCGCACACGTTGCGCCGGCGCATATTTACGTCTGGACAACGAGTTGCGTTGGAGAGGCCGGAAATAGTGGCGATTTCAGGACCGCAATAATGGACCGTCATTGGAATGATTCTTTTTTAAAACATGCGTTGTTTTTAGCCGAAATTTAGTTCTTACCATAAAATATTTTGTAATTAGAGTTTGGCCGAGAATGAATACCATCAGAGCTAAGTTTTTACTTTCATTGTATTTTGTCCAGAAGCATTAGTGCTGTTTTGTTGCAGTTTTTGCGCGTTTGTTACAAAATATGAAGCAAACCTGCAAAAAAGTTCCAAGGTGAAGATGATGCATATCACAATCATATTGACCTCAAGTTCATCCGTTCCTTCCATGATTGACTAGACAGATTTACACATTTCAATTTTATCTTGGATCAAAGGTGTTCGTGTGATCAGTGCCAACTGCCAGAGTTTAACTTGAAGTCCATGTCCCTCCGCTAAGAAGAAGAAGTTATTAAATATTTTGCTTTGTGTATTCCAAGAGGAGAGAGAAGTGGGAGCTATTTTCTTTGTGCCTTCATGTCGAATTGAAGATGGATCATTAAATTTTCAAGGCGTTGATCAACCAAGCATTTAGTCTTTCTCGTACATAAGCAGTGGCTAAGAAGAAAAAGTTAATCATCATACCTGAAGTTAAGTCATCTTACTTCAACTCAAACTTTGCAGCAAGATCCCCAAGGACAGAGGATATATTGTATACCTATCCTGTAAATCAAAGCATTTTTGTGCTTGCAAAGGCTTAAGTTATTTGTTGTGTGCTCGGAGTGAGGCTATGGGCGTTTTGTTGTATGTTTATGCGGAGATTGAATATAACTGTGACCCTGTGATTGTTTGTATATTTACTACAGTCAAACAGCATATTCAAATAACATACTCACCTAGCTCATAGCTGTACTCCCGCAGGATTTGTACTTGTTGATGTCTCAAGCATGAACAAAGCACTAAACTAGCTTAGTTATCATTTCCCACATTTTTCTGAGCATCTAACATGGCATACAGCAGTGCAGAGCAGCTTCAGAGAAGAAACACTTAAAATGCACAGACTCACAACACAACAGCCACCCGGGTGGCTGTTTCCCTGGATGTGGTTTGGCAAGGTGAGCGAACTGTTATCAAGTTGAAGGTTAGCAGGTAAGATCGAGTTAGGGTGAGTACCTAGTACCTATAACTGGGTGCTAATGCTATGCAGGTCTTGGGTAAGTTGCAAATAAGTGTGATGATTGAGGTTAGGTCAGGTTAGTCAGGTATGAATTGATCAGGTCACATTTTTATGAACACTTGGCAAATTAAAAAAAAAACTAACATGACCTAATATTAGCTAGCCCAACTAAACCTACATAACTACTGAACTATAGGTACTGAGCACCTACCTACTTGTGCCTACATCTCATACCAAGTCAAAATAAAGAAGTTCCTTTCTAGAAGATTACCCTGGCAGTACTTTTTATCCCAGCCCTGTCAAGAAAACTAATACTTCTCAAGTTCTGAGTCCCTTCTGGCCATCCACAGAAAGAAATGCTGACAGCTTTGCTTTTGTATATTAGACCAATAATCACCATCACGGAACACATGATATGATCACATCGTTGCATGGATTGTCACATTGACAAATGACAATTTTACTGAAATCCTTTTTCAAGAAATGCAAAGTAATGATGAACATCAAATTAAACATTATAAAGCTGATTTAGTGATCCAAGCTTTCTCTTCCAGTAGCAACAGAATGATCGCATGTTTCATTTGCCAGACACTGAGTAATGCACATTACCATCCGCATAGCAAAGTAAAGCTGCCCAGGTTTGTTCATTCTAGATTTTTCACTTGGCAGCTAGCACTCATTGATCTTGCTGCTGTAGCCTGTAAGTAATATTTCAATATTCATACCAATACATCAATACGCGTTCACCAGCCAACATTTTCTGGCTTGATACTGCGCGTGTTCTTCAGTATTGATCTCCTGCAATATTATAGCTTGTTTTCGGCCAATAAGCTCTTTTAATTTTACTTTTTCTTGCTGATAGGTGAGCCAGATCAACTTGTGTTTATCAACCAACATTTCCTAACTTCAACCTGATATTACTCAGGACTCACAACTCTTAGCCTCCTGTATACATCAACTTGGGATTGTTTTCAGTCAACATGCTTCTTTAATATGATATAATTAAGTCACAAGAGATTCAAAACTTACAACAAAACGACATACAAGAGTTCGAAAACCATCAGATAAAAAAAAAGGCCTTGGAACGGAGAAGAACTGAGCGAATTGGTGTGCTCCATTTGTTTGTTTACAATAATTGTAGTGCTGATGTATTGTTTTAGGACTCTAGCGGTTGGCTCATAAAAACTGAAACATTTTCACAAAATCTGTAAGGCAATTAATATTTCTCTGAAAGAACTTAAATATTCAAAAGCCAAACACCATGAAATACAGGAATCAGAACGAAAAAGTAACCCGAAAATCCAGCCTAATAACCGGCTCCTAAAACTGCGGCAAAATCAGCACTTTTCCCCGCAACTCGTTGTCCAGACGTAAATATGCTGCGCCGGCTGCGTATTTACAAATTGCAACCGAGCTCCGCCGTAGGGTATTTTATTTCCGCCGTAGTGTATTTCACTTCGGGGGTTTTCTACCATACATCTGCCTGAGCTTAGGGTAATTACAATTTGTCGGCGACGTTAAAAAATGATGCACTTTTTTCGCAGTATAGGATAACGCATGTGCATATTTCTGCCTTTTTGGGTGCGCTTTATCGGTTTTTCGTGAGTAACTCACGTAAAAACCGTCCGGTCGCGACGAAACTTTCAATGCCCCCGATTTTATCAATTTTACACCTACCCTGAAAATTTCACGACCCTGACCCAAATGACCTTTGACCTGTGACCTATTTCTCGAGACCATGTTTGGCCCGAATCGCGATTCGGCGTTTGTCGGCTCGCATTAGCCGCGCGGTTGCAGTCTTCACGTGGTTTCAAGCGTTGAAACATGTGATATGATGCTGGTCCCATGCATTAGGGTGGGTGTCAAGGTCACCTGAAGGTCAGGTCAGCTCAATGACCTTTGATGACCTCGGTTCCTTTTTCGAGTTTTACATGTTTCTAGGCTAGTTTTTGGAGCTGATTTCGAATTTAGCAACCATTTGAACATTACCTACAGGGGGTGTAACGAAATTATACGGACACCTTTCTTCCCGCTGTAATTAAAAAGCAAAACAATCTGGTACTTTTTCTTTTAACTGAGCTTGTAGCCACCTTTCATAAAAACACAGTGGTGAATGTTCTGGAGCATTTCAGCCAATGAATTCTCCAGCACACTGGCTTTGATGCGGACCAACGCCGTCTAAACCTGTGCCTGCGGTTGAGCAGTGCTTATGGCGGGTCTCTTCATACACCTCATTCCCCTCCTGACTCCATCCCGGGTTCCGGACAAAAAGTCAAATGATAAAAGGTAAAAGGATGATTAGTCAACAGACATTACGTCAAAAGCACGAAGTCAAAAATCTTAAAAGTCAACAGGTAAAAGGTCAACAAAGAGGAAAGTCAAAAGTCAAAAAGTCAAAAAGGATAAAACGTCAAAAGATAAAAAGTGAAATTGCCAAAAAGTCAATGAACAAAAAGCCAACTAGCATAGAAGTCAAAAGACAAAAAGTCAAATGGACATAAGGTCAAAAGACAAAAAGTAAAAACGGCAAAAAGTCAACTTGCCAAAAAGTAAAAAGAACAAAAGTCGAAAGACAAAAAGTGAACAGGACATAAAGTCAAAATCCAAAAAACCAAAAGGACAGAAAGTCAAAAGGACAAAAAGTCAAAAAACAACAAGTCAACCGGGCATGAAGTCAAAATAAAAAGTCAAAAGTTCAAAAAGTCAAAAAGACATATAGTCAAAGTCCAAAAAGTCAAAAGGACAAAAAATCAAAGGGACAAAAAGTCAAAAGGACAAAAAGTGAAGAGGACAAAGGTCAAAAGACGAAAAGTCAACAGAACATAAAGTCAAATTACGAAAAAATCCAAAGGACAAAAAGCCAAAATCCAAAAACTCAAAAGGACAAGTCAAAGAGACAAAGTCAATGACACCTGGATCATCAGTCATTACATACATGAGATAACATTTACAAACAGCTGTACACAATTAAGCAGGATGCTGCACAATATAACCTGCATCATTGGACATTGAAGCGAGACTGCCTCCATTGCACGACTGATGGGGATTCCCATGGCCCGCAACCGCGACTCAGCTGGTCACACGGGCATGCTTGGCTGAAATCTGACACACATCCGTTGACACGTGCTAGGTGGGAGCTCGCTCGCATCGTAAGGTTGTCATGAGGCAGCGTTACATGATCCTTCGAGACAACTGACTGTCCCAGGCGCAGTTTACTGGAATTATTTCAACAAATATAGTAGCCCGGAATGTTATCGATACGAAAAGTTTCGCTTGTTCAAATTTCCTATATTGTGTAGGGAGACGTTTCTCATCAATTGATTCCGTCACGGGTTCTATTAGCGATTTCACACTTTTATTATAGTTCAAGCGTATTGTATGGTACAATTGGTACAATAGTAAAGCGCGTCGTTTCTTTTAAATCACCGTTCCATGCTTCTATCCTCAGGATACGGAAATCCTTCTCCTCCACGCCGCAACCCCCTCCGGGCTGGACAGGCAACTTTATCTCATGCGGGCTGCTGGAGCGGCACCGCTGCTCCCGAGGGAGCGCACCCCGTAGCCGGGTGCAGTGAGTACCTTGGGGCTGATCGGCCTGTCCTTCGGGATGGGCTCAGCCCCGGTGACTCACTAGGATGCCTGCCCAGACCAATGTCTCCCCCTAATTCCTATCATCCTTCCGGCTCTGAAATGGTCTAATTGGACCGAAAGGGCCTAACCCAACAAAACAAAACAAATTTCTTTTAAATAGGTGGAAGTTGGAACGAGAGGCAATGGTGTGATTGTCGGATTGTCCTGCCTTGAAAGGAACGCTCATATCAGCATCAACAGACAACAACCTGTTAATATTCACGGACTGCATACAATTAAGGTGACCAATTTTCATCGAAAGGTACGGACTGCATACAATTAAGGTGACCAATTTTCATCGAAATGTATAGGTCAATTAAGTTATCGAGATGCGATTGCTAAAAACACAATTTTTTAGGACCTCGGAGCTGTGACGTCCAAAGAGAGGTGACAAGTATAGCGCATTGTGGCCACCAGTTACTGTCCCTCTCCTTCATCTTCGCCTCCGCCCTACGTCTCCTTATCGGAACTGCCCCCCCCCCCCCCCCGCCACCAGCAGGCACAGTACGCCAACTTTATATCGATAAGTTCACATTCCCAATATACTTTTTAAAGCAAAGTAAAAATAGGTAGGAGCGTTCTTATCGGTAGTGTCGGGGCACGCACGGGGACGCGCCGAGACTCTCTATGCGGTGCAGCCGGCGCCCAGCGGGCGGCGGCCGGGGATCAGGTGGCCCGGCGCGGGTCAGTCGCCGACCGGAGACGCGGGCTGCGGCGTACTTGTACCGACTTAGTTAACGACTGCTGTTGAAGACTACTTTTTGCTGTTGACTACATTTTGCGCATCAACTTTTCGCGCACCTATAAACTATTTGCTTGTTGACTTTTTGTGTGTTGACTTTTAGCGTGTTGACTTTTAAGCATGTTGACTTTTAGCGTGTTGACTTTTAGCATGCTGACCTTTCGCGTGTTGACTTTTAGCGTGTTGACTTTTAGCGTGTTGACTTTTAGGCGTGTTGACTTTTAGCGTCTTGACTTTATGCGTGTTGACTTTTAGCGTGTTGACTTTTAGCGCGTTGACTTTTTGACATGTCGGCTTTTTGTCTCTTTGACATTATGTCTTTTGACTTCTTGCGTGTTGACTTTTAGCTTGTTGACTTCTGGCGTGTTGACTTTTTGGCAGGTTGACTTTTTGTTCATTTGACATTTTGTCCTTTGACTTCTTGCGATGTTGACTTTCTGTCTGTTGACTTAATGTCCTTTGACTTTTTATCCGTTTACTTTTAACGTTTTGACTTTTCATCCGGGAATCCTCCATCCCAGCCTGACGTGCGCCACATTTGTAGCCCGGTGAAGGTCAGCAGTTGAGAGCATGGGAGCTCTGATTGATTGAGTGAAGTGTCAAGTTATTCAAATTGATTGAGTGAAGTGTTAAGCTATTCAAAGAAGAAAAGTAAAAAGGTTATAGAAATCATCCACCATGAGTTCAAAAGCACCTACCACTAGGGGGCGTTACGTGTCAACTAGCAGCCAGCAACAAGTTGGTAAGGAAGGTGCCGATAAAAAAGAAGAAGAAAGCGCCAAAACATCCCGAGACAAAACTGGAGGGCATGGATCGCAGGATGTGTCCAGTGAGAGTGATTATAGCCAGGAAAGTGATGAAGATGTTGATCTGGGTGGAGGAAAAGTGAGTGGTTGGTCACCAAGTGGGAAAAAGAAGAAAGAAAGGTATGTGTGCAAGGGGGGACCCAAGCAATGTGGGCTGAAAATTTTGGCTAAGGATGATAGTATTATGTGTGATGCTTGTAGGCAGTGGTACCATCCTAAGTGTCAGAAGCTATCTGACAAGGAATTTAGGGCTCTGTCCGAGTTCGACTTCCTATGGGTGTGTATGGAGTGTAGACCAAACATTATACCCATCGCTGAACTGAGAAAAGAGTTCCGTGAGGGCATGGAGAACATTGAGAACAAAATTACGCAGGCACTGAGCGACGCCAAGTTCAAAAAGGAGATAGAACAAAAACTCCAAGCTCTAGAAAACAACGTAATGATGCGCGTGAAAGAACAACAGGAGCGGGTTGAAAAATCGATCAAGGAACAGGTTAATGTGGTGCAGAAACTGCCAGAATACACAGCAGAACTGAAAACGAGTGCCAAAAATCTGCAGAAGATAGTTGAAAACAAGGCAGAACAGGATGCTCGAGAAAGGAACATACTGCTGCACAACATAGAAGAAAGCCAGTCTGACAATCCAGAGCAAAGAAAACATCATGACACAGAAATATTTCAAAGATTAGTGACTTCACTGACAGGCAAACAGGATGTAGAAATAGTCAACATCTACAGACTAGGGAAAAAACCTGAGAACAATGAAAATGAAGGAACGAATGCACGGAAGCGGCTGATGCTGGTGAAAGTGAAAGACAGAGAAATTGTTAATGAGTTGATCAGGAAGAGAACAAAGTTGAGAGAAGTGGGCTTCCTGAATGTTTACCTGACCAGGGACCTCTCGCCTGAAGATCGTGAAACTCAAAAAAAGTTGAGGATGGAACTGGAGCAAAAAGGAAAAACAACCCACAAAATCTTTCGAGGCAAGGTCGTCCCTCGCTAGCGCGAAGCAGAACCAAGATAGAAGGTTTTTAAAATGTATGTACACAAATGCCAATAGTCTTAAAAACAAGTTGAGTGAGTTGAGACTGCGTATTGATGAAGGCAAACCAGATGTAATAGGGATTACGGAAGTGTGGACAAAAGATGAAATTGTTCTACAAGGCTATCACCCTGCCTACAGATATGACAGAGAAGAAGATCAAAAAGGAGGAGGTGTCATGCTCTTTGTTAAATGTGACCTGGAGGTGTCAGATTGCCCAGAGCTGAGCAGCCCCAATATAGAGTCTGTTTGGTGTTATGTCAAATTGTCATCCAAAGAAAAACTGTTAGTGGGTGTCTGCTACAGGCCACCAGCCAGTTCTGTTGAGTACAATGAAGGATTAAACCATTTATTGAAGCAAACTCCTTCAACACGAACCAAGCATATATTAGTAATGGGTGATTTTAACTACCCGCAGATTGATTGGGATACTGGCTCAGTTGATGGTTCTGAGGGATCAAGTCAAGAAAGATTTTTTGATGCTGTCAATGACTTGTTCTGGTTACAATGTGTCAACTTTCCCACCCGCTTCAAAGAAGGAAATGAACCGTCCTTGCTAGATCTAGTATTTGCAAATGAAGAAAATGCCATTGAAAGCATTGTGGGATCTGACCCACTGGGTAAAAGTGATCACTGTGTTATCACATGGGAATACGTCTACATTAGCAAGGGACCAAACAGAATGAACCAAGACAAACCAACCCGTAGAAACTTTAAGAAAGGTAATTATGCTCAAATGTCTGATGACCTTAGTCAAATAGACTGGTCAACTCTTGAAAACATGGGAGTAGAGCAAACTTGGAGCAAGATAAAGGATATTGTTAATACCAGCATTGATCAACATGTACCCTTGTCACATCAAAAGAACACCATACCTCGTAGTCCGTGGTGGACTAAACGGCTTGAAGCGGCTGTAAAGTTAAAGTACAGCTTGTGGAAAGAGTACAGAAGGACTAAAGCTACAGAGGACTACAAGAGATACACAGTGCAGAGAAACAAGACAACTAGTCTTATTAGACTAGCAAGGTGTCAGCACGAAACCAAGATTGCTGAACATGCAAAACAAGACCCAAGTAGTATATCAAGGTACATAAGGTCACAACAGAAATTGAAGCCAAAGGTTGGACCACTTACAACTGAAAACGGTACATTGACACAGAGTGACATGGAAGCAGCCGAAGTGTTAAACAAGTTCTTCCAAAGTGTATTTGTTGAAGAAGACGATTCTGAAGTTCCAGAATTCCCAGCTCGTGTACAGGACGAAAATATCCTGGAGCATATCGAACTAACACTACAAGAAGTGCACAGGGAATTAGAAGCCCTAGATATCAACAAGTCGGCAGGACCAGATGGCATACCCAACAGTGTAATGAAAATGTGTGCAGATCAAATGGCTGGACCACTGAAATGCCTCTTTCAGAAAACCTTGGACTTGGGCAAGCTACCAGTTGATTGGAAGGAAGCAAGGGTAACACCGCTATTCAAGAAAGGGTCAAAAAAAGCCCCAGGAAATTATAGACCCATCAGTTTAACAAGTCAACCATGTAAAGTTTTGGAGAGAATAGTTAGAAAACGCATTGTTGAACACCTGGATGACCATGACCTGATCTCAAAACACCAACATGGCTTTACAAAGAGAAGATCATGCCAAACCAACTTGATTGAAGCAATGGAAGAATGGACCAAAACATTGGATGACGGACATGCTTTGGACATAGCATACTTGGATTTTCAGAAAGCGTTTGATACCGTACCGCATAGAAGGCTAAAGAAGAAATTGTATGGCTATGGAATACGAGGAAGACTGTTAGACTGGATTTGTGACTTTCTGCACAACCGCCGACAACATGTGACTATAGGAAATATTACTTCGAACTCAGTGGATATAAAAAGTGGCGTACCACAGGGTTCTGTTTTGGGTCCAACATTGTTTTTAGTTTATGTCAATGAGTTGCCAACAGAGATCAAAAGTAGCATAAAAATGTTCGCTGACGACGCCAAAGTGTATCGACCAATCCGACAAGATGATGACGTAGCTGCACTGCAGGCCGACCTACAAGCTCTGTGTGCGTGGTCACTGAAATGGCTACTGAGGTTCAATGTTGCCAAGTGCAAGATAATGCATTGTGGTTTGTCAAACCAACATAACCGGTATTACATGACAGAGAATGGTTTGAATAGAGAACTTAAAGCAACTACCATGGAGCGTGATCTTGGCGTGATAACCACAAGCTCCCTCAAAGCAACTGAACACTGTTATCAAGCAGCCAATAAAGCTTCTTCAGCATTAAGATTACTGAAAATTGCTTTTGCTAGCCTCAACATGAACAACTTTAAGCCATTGTACACATCCTATGTGCGCCCTCATCTTGACTACTGCCTGAGTGCTGTCGGACCCCATTTAATTCAAGATCTTAAAGCCTTAGAGAAAGTCCAACGGCGTGCTTCGAAACTGGTTCGTGAAATCAAACATCTTCCATACCATCAACGACTGGAAAGGCTGGAACTACCTACCATTGAAGAGAGACTCAGCAGGGGTGACTTGATAGAAGCTTACAAGATCCTAACAGGTAAACTCGCTGTCGATCCAAACCAGTTTTTCGAGAGGAACTTTGATGACAGGACAAGGGGGCACCACCTAAAGCTCGCAAAAAGAAGATGCAGCAGTCAAGCACGGGCCAAATTCTTTGCAAACAGAGTGGTTACTGCCTGGAACAGTTTACCAGAGGAAGTTGTGGCTGCAACATCTACAAACCACTTCAAAAATCTGCTGGACCGACATCGGGCTGCTGCACCCTGACCTGTCATCTTGTCCCAAACCAGTATGATGTGGGTCCTGAATAGACTGTGTCTAAACCTAACCCACTACATAAACCTAAACCTAAACCTAAACCTCCTGCTGAACAAGAGCCCACAGGTTTTCGATTGAATTGGGATCGCGACTTTTTCCAAGTCATAAGCGTTAGCCCAGAATGATTGAAGGTTCTATCGGCATCACTTCCCGTTCTTTTAGGGACTTTTAAGTAGCGCGCCGCCCCGCATGAAGACAGCGTGGCTTGAATCAGGTATCAGTGCGCGTTCAGAAATCGTGCCCTCCTATGCCGTCTGGTTGAGCGCCTCCAATCATGCTCCACCACCTTCCTTGGAAAAGCTCCACCCTTGCCTATGGGGCAAAATGTAAGGGACAAAAACACAAAACAAGACAGATAAAAATAAAGCAAAATTAACTCAATACCTAATGAAATTCAGGCTGGAGCAAAAACATAGGTAATAGGTATCTATGTCAAATTAGCATGAAAGATTTAAATCAACCTGACCAGGCCCGGGTCTGACCTGGTTCTAACCACCTTACTTCGCCTAACTTAACCCAATTCAACCTAGCCTACCACCACAACACCTGCAGAGGTACCTTCCTGGAAAAATGACGCCCAGGGAGGTGACTGTCCAACTTATTGGAATACTATCATGATTGCTTGTCAAAATGTGTGTCATCATGCTCTTGTTTGACAAGTGATGTATAATAAATGTGATATTCAATAATTATCTCCTGGCTGTTGACTGTTGAGTGGTCAAAATATTCAAATAATCAGGGTACAATGTTGTGCATAGTGCCCACTAATCATGTTGTTTTTGTGTAGGGCTAGGCCCTGTGCACATTGTTGTGTGCACTGCTATGTGCACCTTAAGTAAAAAAGTGACTGGTGGTACATGACAAAAGGTTGTGCAACTGCGAAGTTCATGCCCTTGGTCAAGCTGGTGCCAAATGCCTATAGCTATAGCAGGATCAGTGAGGGTTGCAGACATGCTGCTACATACATTGTGCATTGAAGATATTGGCTGGCACAAAGTTCATCCTTAATTTCTATGCTTAACACCTAATGTAAGAAGCGACATAAATGCCCAGATGATAAAACTCTCTGGTCAACATCACACAAATTTATTTACATACTTTGCAGGTGGGTACATATTTACATTCATGGCAAATACTTTTGATTTGATTCAGAAACTAGTTGCTAGTAAGCTTGCATTTTTGTAGGTAGGTACAACAACGACCATATATTAAATCATAAAACCTTCA